CCTAAATTCTTTTTGGTGTTAAATCAGAGAAAGCAGCTCCTCTTCCATAGTCATTTCTTATCCTTACATACACCCTGAAAAAGTTGACTGCCATCCCCATCCCCCCATCCATTCCCAATAAGGCAGCAGTCTAATGCTTCAAAGCTAAGTACTCAGGAATTCCCCCATTGCTCACCTCAGGGCCTGGAAGGGATGCTTGAGGTTTGCTGCTGGGAGGTGGCTGGCTCCCGTTACAGAGGGGAAAGCTGGGCAGGCACCCTCAGCACTCACCCATCAGGGGTGTAACTGCAGGCAGAAGGTTCCTGTCCCAGCTATGGGAGTCCTTTCAAAGGTAAAGGCCTGCAAGGCTTTGTGCAGATTCATATATATGGGGGGTGGGGGGAGGGGCAGAGGAAGAAGAGAGAGGTGGAGAAAGGGAAATTGGTCATGCTTTTTCAGAGAATTACTTCATTGCCTAGTCACCCTTCACTTTAAGACAATAGGCAATGGAGAAAAGCAGCCCCTGAGGTGAGATGAGACCTAGGTCTGAGTTCTGGCTTTGCCACTGGCTGTGTGACCAGGGGCATGTCTCCTAGGTACCCTGAGCCTTGGTTTCTTACGTATAAAATTAAAACAAACGAAGGAAAAAAGAAAAAACCTGCCCTATATCCCCCAGAGGCAGGTATAAGGAGCAAACAACACAGAGGTGCTTTGTAAACTCTATACACAAGTAAATACATTATTACTATGCAGTGTACACCAGTCTCTTTTCTGTCCAAATCATTCAATAATTATGTCTTATTAATAATGGGACAGTAACCCTGAAGCTAAGGAGAGCCCATACATACTTCTTTAATTGGTCAGGGACAGGAATTTTAGGAGTGTTTCCTGACATGCAGCCACCTAGGGTTATAATCATTCCACCAAGATATGTCCCCCTTCAGATTCATGTGCATGGCCAGGTCTGGAAAGCTGGGGCCCTGGTGTCCTGTGGGCTTGCATTGGTCTGTGCTTTTCCGCTTAGGGTCACTCAGGGGATGCAGTAGTGTGGCACGTCAGGAGCATCAATGCAATCAAGAGACCTGACTGTTCGTCCAGCTAACGAGGCACGCAGGCTTCAGTTTCCCCATGTGTAAATGAGGGGTACCCTGGAGTTGTGTTCCCCCAAGGCATGTTCCACAGAACCTAGCCCTGAGGAACACTCGCCTGCAAGACACTCCACGACACAAAAGATTTCACAAGACACATACACTGCTCTTGAGAATACTTAAGACTGATAAGTCCCGTGAGGGCAGGGGACATGTGTTTTGCTTTGTTTAACCCAGTGTTTCCTGTGAGTATTTGACCACGTCCCTCAAAAAACATTTTGGGTAACACTAGATTCTGAATGAGGAATTGACAAATGCCAGGCCAAAAATAAGCTAAGAATGGCTTAGCCCTGTGACCTAAGAATGCTTTTCATATTTTTTAATGATTAAAAAATATCAAAAGAAGAACAATATCTCGTAACACATGAAAAAGTTTGTGAAATTCAAATTTCAGTGTTCATAAATAAAATTTTATTGAGACACAGTCATGCCCATTCGTTTACATTTTGTCTATGCTGCTTTTGTGCTTAAGTGACAGATGAGTAGCTGTGGCTGCGACTGTGAGGCCAACAAAGCCTAAAATGTCTATTTTCTGGCCCTTTATAGGGAGAGGTTGCTGAGCCCTACTTTAAATTTCCTTAACGAACATTCTCTCTTTTTTTTTCCCAAAACCCCCGCTTCTACCCCTGACCTACGGATGTTACCGTCTCCCCCTAAAAACGGGATCCCTGAAGGCGGGGCGTCTCCTCCCGCGCAGTGCACACCTGGGGCCTGGCACGCCCGGGGGTCCTGGCATATGCGCCCAGAGTACAGACCATGGCTCCACTGGGGCTGGAACCCAGGACTTTCTGCACGTAAAGCAGATGTGCTAACCACTACTCTATGGAACCACGTCCACAAACATTCTATGAGTCTACTCAAGCCTGGGTCCAGGCAAGAGACATAGGAATATACTGTGAGGGGCAGGATAACTTTCTCCAGCTCAGTACAGAAGAAAGAACAGGAAACACTGGGAAGAATGACCCTTCCCAATCTCTCTCACACCAGCACCCCTTGCCTCTACCACACAGACAATGTTGTTTGTTTCCCTAAACAGACAAAATACTTGCTGTACTCCTCAGCCAGCATCCTGGCCTGCTGCCTCTGCCTCTAAAAGGACCACGCTTGAGTCCCTTGCTCCTGGAAGCCCTGAGTCTTGCCCTCTGGTCTTGGGCAGGGGCCCACATCACACACTTTATTTTTTTCCATTCACTATTTAGGGCATTACTAAAAATCTCCACTGTGGGAAGAAGATATGATGAGATAGAAAAGAAGACAAAGTGAGAGTGTTGAGGCAGCAGATGAAGATGAGGCAGGAGAGGGCTGGAAAGACTAGGCGCTGAGACAGGAAGCTGAGAGGGAATGTAAGCCCCCAGGGCAGCTGCAGTCCTAGATGACTGTCTACTGATAGGCAGCAGGGATGAGCTGTTACAGGGCAGGCTAGAACAGAGGCATGAGGTCATGACTATAGCTGGGTAGGCTCCAGGATATTCACCTGGGGTCATGAGTAGCTCATTCTGTCTAAGGAAGAATTAGTATGATATGGACATTCCAGGCAAACATGTGTCTGAGTCTCAGGCTTGGCTGAGCTTATCATAGCACAATTACCTGGGAAGGAAGGCTAAGAAGAGAACTTAAGGATCTTGGCCCAATATTAGCTGAGATTCTTGGTTATGAGTATGAACTTTGCATGCAGCAGACCTGGGTTCAAAACGTGATTGAGGTCTCTGAGCCTTATCTCTCTCATCTGTAAAACTGAGTCCTCATCGGGCCACAAGGACACAATACATAGAGCCTTGCTACTCAAAATGTGGCCCGTGGATGAGCAGCAACAGCAATATCTGGAAGCTCGTTAGAAATGCAAGCTCTCAAACCCTTCCCCAAAACTACTGAACCAGAGTGTGTGTTTACAGGAATATGTGGATTAGAGGAAAGCAGTGGCTGCGGGGAAAGAACTAAAATAGAAACAGAGAAAGATAAGAAGGGAACCCGTATTGGAAAAAGGAGCAGTGGACTAGTGAATGGTCAAAGGAGCAGAAAAACAAGATGACAACCTGGAATGCCATGCTTTTGGGTGGGAGTGGATGGGAGTGGATGGTAGAGGCCTGGCCCACTGGCTCACCCTCCTGAGAAGATCCAAGTCCAGACTTTGAGAGGTTGGAGAAAGTGAGGCCAGTCCTTTTGTATAGATTCATATATTTTTATCCAAACTCCATCCTGGACAAGACTAAAGCCTGTGGCTCTTCTAATCTCTCTCATTTCCATGCATCTGGAACTTTGGGGATTTCCTTTACAAAAATATTGAGTGAGAGAAAAGGTCCTCTGAGGATAAACTTTGATTTACAAGGCAACTTTCCCCCCCTCGCCCCAAATACCCCTTATTGGATTTAGGGTTTTTATTCTGATAATCTCATGCCACCAGTCATTTACATCTATCTGCAGAGCCTGAATTTTACATTTGAGAAGTAAATCTACTCTCACCCTACATCTCTTACAAATTCCCTTAAACCTTTAGAGAGAAAAAGACAGAACCAGATGGAGAAGGATCTTTTCTCCATTCTTGGAGGGAAGCAATCTAGAGCTTGCTCTTACATCCGAATACCTCCTCTTCTGATTCATGGAAATGCCATGAAGGAGAGAAATGATTAGCATGTTAATTAGGATTTCCTGAGAGCCAAGAGAAGAGGAAATTACGTCATCAATTTATTCCAGTGAATTGACTTTAATCTTCATTTTAAAAGAGAGTTTTATGTCCCAGTTTGGCTGGGAAACTCAAGCAATAATAGATGAGGCATACCGGGCCATTTCGTCAGCGCTTTTCCTGTCTTAGCTGCCACTATTCCGGGAGTAGAGATGAGCGGTGAATGTCCACTGGTTGGACCCCTTAGACTAACACTCTGCCATTCCACCTCTCCTCTGTCATTGGTGTAATAAATGATTTATTACAGTCACTTCAAAGGAAGAAAGTAAAACCAGACACAAATTAGTCTTACATCTGTACTACATATTTAGATATACAAAATACTTCCAAGCAAATTTTCTCACTTGATATTCACCATAACCCTTTGAGACAGGGAGGACAGATATTATTTCCTTGCAGATTAGAAAGCTGAGAGTCAGAAAAGTCAAATTATTTTCCTTAGGTCACATAAATAAATGACAGAATCAGAACTAGAGCACAGTCTCCAGCTTTCAGTCCAGTATTCTTTTCTTTGCACCACCCTTTCACGCAGCTTTTCAATCCTGCAAACACTCATTCACTTACTGAACAAACACTGGATAAGCACCTACCAAATGTCAGAAGAGGCTATACAAAAAAAAAAAAATTATAATAATATTTATGTAAAATATTCAGAAAATACAAATCTATAGAAACAGAAAATAGAGTAGTAGTTGCCTAAGGCTTGGAGTTAGGGGCTGGATGGGTGGGAGGAATGGGATTGACCCCTAATGGGTATAAAGTTTCTTTGGGTGGGGGGAGCAAAAAAAGTTCTAAAATTAGATTATGGTGCTGCACTCTGTGAATATGCTGAAAGCCACCGAATTGTACACTTTACACAGGTGAACTCTATGGTGTGTAAATTATATCTCAAAGCCGTTAAAAAAATGAATTAAGATGCAGTCCTTGTGCTTTAATGAGTCAGTAGAGTGGAGATACACTTGCAAACAGACACATTACAACACTGTGTCTTGGGGCCACTAAGAGAAGGGCAGAGTCTATGGAAACATCAAGGTGAGACCAGTGTGACCTCTGCAGATTCTATGGGTACACAATTACTGTAGGGACCAAGGAGAAGAAGGTTCTGGAAGCTGCTGGAAGAATGACAACCACTGATTGTTCTTTTGCTTGATGATTAATGGAAATCAATGGAGAACAGCAATTAAAATACCACTTGAGAGCATGAAAGGGGACCTAGGGTGGTAATGACCCCTTAAAGATGCAGGCAGGAATGGAGAAGTGGGAAGAAGGACCAGAGGCCCAGCTCTCTAA